ATTGGAATATTGAAACTTTTACAATAAGATTCTGGAACTAATTATAAAGAACAAACAGCTTCTCATGGGAAATAGATTCTGTTTTGGTTTTTACAAGACAAAGCTAAATAAGATTTTGATCTTAGAAAGTTATAAACGGACTAAGGGTCCAGATAAAATTGGAATATTGAAACTTTTACAATAAGATTCTGGAACTAATTATAAAGAACAAACAGCTTCTCATGGGAAATAGATTCTGTTTTGGTTTTTACAAGACAAAACAAAGATAAGCAATTTCATGATTTCAAAAACCAGACACTAGAGGAGACTAAAGTTTTTAGGTAGAGGAAAGATTTACAAGCCTGTAAAATGTTGCAAAGCATTATAACAATTAAAATACTGACGGAGACTTTTGAAGAATGGAATCAGAAGATACTAGCTACAATATCAACAACGTCAGTAATTATGTCTGCTTCTATGCATAGATTAAGACCAAAAGATGTTATTGAAGAAATGACAGATGTAGAACAAATCTAATCTGACAAGACAGAGATGGTATCGAAAGTGATTTACAGCTGACAGGCCAAGAGACTGACTTAGAAAAGGTTGTATCACTGGATCTACAAAAGAAACAGGCTGAGGTTTTAAAATTTAAAAGGGAAATACAAATGACAAACCAAAAGAGTGACCTAGGTAATTTTTTCCTACTGGATTTACAAAAGAGGCTGTTAAAGGCTTGAAGAACTCTGTGCGATGGTACAAAGAAGAAATGAGGAGAAATAAAATCACACAACAATATTTGAATGAACTAAAGATTAAGACTATTAGAAGTAAAAAGAAGGAATATAAATTTGGTTTATTTGATCAAGGTTAAAACAACATATGTTGTTACTTCTGGCAACCCTTTATGGACTTTCTGCTGACACCAGATTGAAAAGACGATGTTTTATAGATTGGTTTATAGATAAGAGATGGGATATAGGATGAAGAGATAAATATTTGTAACCTTAGAGGGGGGTGAAGAGTCACTAAATTTGTTTAAACTTGTTGTGGTGAAGGTTGGAAGTCACTTCTTTTATATATATAATATATATATATACACACACACACACACACACACACACACACACACACACACACACACACACACACACACACACACACACACACACACACACACACACACACACACACACACACACACACACACACACACACACACACACACACACACACACACACACACACACACACACACGCACACATATACACATACACACACACACACACTTTTTATTATATTCTTACTTTTCTCTTTCTTTTCTTTCTTCTTGCACTTTTTACTCCTATTATCTTTTCTTTAAGTTCAGTTTGTATTCATTTTACTATTATAATCAAAATTCTTAATAAAAATTATATATGCAGCAATTACAATGTTGCAGCATCCCATGGTCACATGATTGCCATTTGCAACCTTCTTTGCTGACTTCCTACAAGCAAAGTCAATGGGGAAGCTAGCAGAAAGTCACAAATGGCAACCACGTGACATCCTCACTTAATGACCTGCAGTGATTCACTTAATGATAGCAACCGGAAATGCTGGAATTTCCATTGTTAAGTGGCACTGTCATGTGATATCGTGCTTTATGACTGTGTCACTTAGCAACAGAAATTCCAGTCCCAATTACTGTCATTAAGTGAGGACTACCTATATGAAAAAAATACAATGATTATATCTCCTAATGATCACATTGCCTTATTCTCCTCAGCTACACAAAACCAAAAGTTATGAATCTTAAGAATGAGACCATTAACTGCCACTGCAGATAAATTCAGCAAAGTTCAGTACCATATTCAGGGCCAGCCCAATCTCTGGCCCAATTCAGCCCAACAGAAACGTGTGTATCCTGTATACAAGCCAAAAAGACTTTCACCTTGTTCTACTGATCTTTGGTATGTTTCAAACAGTGTGGCAAGTCGAGCACAATTGTACATCACAAAGGCTCCACTTTTGGTTCCCTTCAGAGAGGTGCTGCTTTCTTCCACATCCAAGAAAACCTGAGGGGGCAAAAATAAATTCTGCTGGGAAGGAAGTAAATAAAGATCTAGTCCTATTGCCAATAAAGTCCTGAGCTCTATCCCATGGTCTTGCCCTGTAGATTACCTAAGCCAAGGTTACTAAAAGAGAACACTACAGCCATGGTTCTCAATGTTTTCTATCTAAAGTCCACATTATCAGAGAATGTAGATCCCACCAAGGAAGACTTGAAGTTTCAGTGACTTACCCTCTCTCCCACCTATAGTATGCAAACTACTAGTTAGGCTCTGCTGCATTAAGGCACCAATCAGTCTATATAAAAAGCTGTTTTTATTCAGCCTTTTCCCTTCTGATGCCCCCCAACTATGCTGGGACTGAAACTCCCAGAATGCCTAGCCAGGTTGGAGAAGGCTGACTTATAGTGTCTATCATATCCAGCAACCTGAAATAACTGCTAAAATTGCCCTTTGCCAAGAAGTGACATTCCATTACTTGCTCTTTATGGGTTTTTTTCCAAATTCATCAACTTGTGATAGCAATCACTGTCCCCATATACCACTGCCTTTCCCACTGTGGATCCCCTAGTTGTTATGAATTTTGTTTCCCATGATCCCCTACATAGCATGAGAACAAAAACATTTATATCTGGAAAACTTTAAGATGGGAAAAGCTACTAAGACATCACTCCTTTTGTTCATAATTCATGTTCAGGTTCATCTGGAATATATATGTATAAACAAGTCCACTAATCCTATAATTCATTCCCATGCCAACAAATTCTGTATTCAATATAATTAGGCAAATATAGCTGTTTGTGATCACATATTGTGTTTATAATACAGCACTCTTTCCTTATGCTGGATTAGCATGAACTCTTCGTTCTAAATATAATGTGTTTTCCAAAATTATTCCACATTTCAACTGCACAGAAGGCAATCTTACTATTTCTACTCAGAGCCTGAACTTCATTGCTTACCTGATTCTGATGAACTGTACTCAGCATCTCAAATCGGATAGCAGCTGATGTCAATACGCTGATTACTTCAGTCCATGTGTCATCTGCAAAAAGTGCATCAGACAAAAAAGAGGTCTCCATCACAAATGAAAAAAAGAAACTCTATGGAACTTGTCCCTCAGTAATGAAGCCATGAAGATCTAGAAGGAGAAGCCTTTGATTTCCTTCTGAAGTTGAATGTAAAGACTGGAAAATATAACAAGACTCGTTAAGAAAGTATTATAAGCAGTTGGACAGACAACTAAACTGAAATTATGACTGACAAGGTCCAGGTTCAAGACAACATACAGCCATGGAAGAGTTACAAAGACTAAAACATTGGGTGAGGTAGACAGAATAGAATGATCAAAATTTAACTCTAGAAATGAATGCGTATGTGTAGGATCAAGCAAGCTGAAAAGACAGAGAAGTCAACTCTGGGGCACAAAGTTCACTGCCATGCAGCAAGTAACATCTGACCCAGCAACCTAACAGGACAAGTGAGGTACTGCATGATGGAATGTTAACAGAATGTGGCTGTCGAAAGATAAAAAGATTGGGCAGGGATTGACCAAAAGACCCTCTACTGGCGCAATGCAATGGAGTTGGAATATTATGGAATGCTCCTGCCTTCCCTGGTCCCTCCTCACCAGGATGCAGCAAGGCAAGTGAGTATGAAAATGCGTGTGTGTCATGCTTAAGCAATTAATGAATCCTTTATAGGTTAACAGAGACTCTCTATGTGATGTGTGTTCTATTGAGCATTTCATTGCTGCATAAAATCCCAAAGTTCAGATCTGAAACAGAAGCACACTGGATGACTTTGGGTCAAAAAAAATTCTCTCAGCACAATCTACCTCACAGAGTTGCTATGAGGACATACTACAGGGGACAATGCTGCTGCATGTACCATCTCAGCTCCTGGAGAAAAGCTGAGACATAAATCTAACAAATGAAATAAATAATACAACACATATTTCCCCTTGTTCTCACTAAAATAAATTGACATCCAGCAAGAAGATTCATCACCATTATTCTCAGCTGTGTGAAACATCTAAGTTTCCAAAAAGGAGCAGAGTAAAATCAGAGGGAAATAATGATTATACATAGTAGGATGAAACATTACCTTTAGAGAGGTCTCCATATTTCAGCACTGAAGCTTCATACATCTGGGAGTGTCGTAGTCTACAAGCAAGAAATGGTAAGCTCTCAGCTAAAGAACCCCGTTTGTTTGCATGTTTGGCTTACTGCCTACAATATCACTGCTGCTATTTTGAACAGTCAAGTACCATGAAGTACTCTTCTGTTCACTGAGAGATGGAAAAGAAAGGGTCAACTCCTCTTCTACAGTAGTTAAAAAGCAGGGCTTAAGACTTCTTCCTGTTCCGTGGAGGAATTCCCCTCCCTTCAAGTACTGACTTCATCACAGGGTGGTCCAACTCTTCCTTTACTGTATATTCTACTATAACAATCTATGACTGCTAAGACACATGGGAATGGAAAAGCAATGTGTAACAACAAACCACAGTAAAGTAATACACCTCAGTCCTGGACCAACTCTTTCAATCTAGTTTTCCTCCTAAATGGGGTGTGGGGGGTGTGTGTGGGGGATTATTGGTCCAACTTCTGCTAACCATTAAGCCTAACTACCTGGTCTGATAGTATTTTCCAAACAAGTCTTATTGTTCAGGTGGCCGATAGGCAGTGTCAATTCATAATAGGACATTTCATGCTCTAATCTGTTTGGAAGTGAGTTCCCACCCCATTAAGCTAGGTCATCTATAATCATTTGGTCCCTAATTGGCTGAGTGGCATTCCCTGCACTAAGTGTGCTGGGACTAGCCAGCAGTGCAAAGATTGCTTTCCTTGTCATTATTATGCACAAGCAGGTTCTGCCCATGATCTATTTTTGAGATGGAAGAGGCAGGCACTGTTATTGTCTGCAGTGGAAGTCAGTCCGTGAGACTTAACAGTGCAGCATAAGCTTGAGATTCCACTCCTGGGACAGGACAGCTTCCTTTCATCTGTGCCACTGACAACCCCAGATGTAGAACCCACGAGGGTGATACCAGCATGCTCCTGATTAGATTCACTGCAACAGTCTGTTCCTGGAGACTCTGAATGTTCGGCAGAGGATGTTTCCAACTTTTCTCACAGAGAGTTCCTTGAAGAGTAGTTCATCTGGGTAGGCAAAAAACTAGACTCTGTTCTTAAATGTGGACAATTTAAGAACAGAGTCTAATTTTTTTGCTTACCTTGATGAACTACTCTTCAGAGAATTCTCTGTAATCGCTCACGTATACAAAACTGAAAGGCAGGGAATTTCCAGTTGAGTTGTGTAAGTAGGCCTCCGACAAATCTACCAACTTAAGAAGTCATCCAGAACAGACTTCTTCTGTTGACTCTAACTTCTCCATCCTAAAACTTCACTGCCTGATAAATTTATTCCAAGTCCTAAGATTCAGAGTCGCTCTCCAGTTTTCGCTTTTCTTTGGCGACATAAAAAACAGGAAAAAACACAGCAGAGAAAATCTCTTCTGGGCTACATATTCTGTTGTGCACATGTGCTGTAAATACTGAATTGCCCCCTTCATTCTGAGATGTTTTTTGAGATATGGGATGAGAGAAACCTCCCTTTGGCTTTCCTATGAATTCTAATTCATTCTTATGAACTCTAGTGCACACCCCCACCAGGCCCTTCTGGCAGTCCAATCAAGCTCTCTCTCTCCCCCCTACTCCTTCTCACCAGTGTAGGCATTCAAGCCATTGGCATTCAAGCTATTGGCCTAGTCTGTCAAGGTTGGAGGGGAAGATTTCTGAGCAGCCTTCAGCATTGTTGTTACAGGCAGGCTCAAAGGCTGCCACTGCCATCCACATTGCCTAGGCTCTGTAGTCCAACAGGAGCCTTCCCAAGATATTCCCACCGCTGCCTCTTAGGCTGTTCTCTCAGACCAGCCACATGCTACTCCTTTCATTAACATGCTGAACATCTATGGCAAGGGGAAAGACTTTTTTCTTTTACTCTTATCCTCTCTTTTTATTATTGGCTCCCAAGATTGATATGATGGGAAATCATTCCTTCCTCAGGAAGAAGTCTTAGGTCCTGCATTCCGATTAACTCTTGCCCTTTCTTGTCAGCTCTGTCTCTAGTAACTGAGAATTTCAGTGTTAGCCAAAATAAAGAGAAAAGGACAGAATTCTACCCACCAACAGGACAATCCTGATGGCTCAAGACTACTAAACCTGCCTTTCCATTTCTTGGAGCATTCTCAGCTAAAACAGGGACTTTACTATAAAAGAAGAGCATTACAGGTTCTCACAAATCAGGTGGCATCAAGTGATAGTAACACAGAGGTTTCTCCACTTGGTGAGCTGCTATGCCACACCTTACTTCCTGGAGCATCCAAGTAAGAGTGTTATCAGCAGCTTGCTCAAGAAGGAAAAGAGGTCCACTGACATAAGCAGAATTAAAGGATATTGTGCAGAAACCATCTGAGAGAGAATGGGAACTTACTGGTAGTACTGAAAAGCATTCATGCAAGAAGCAGGGCAGGTAATTTTCACAGGCCCACAGACAAGGTGTTTCTAAGAAATAAAAGATACCAACCACTAGTCACAAGCTAACTCCTGACATAATTTACTTTCCATCATCAGTTTGCCTTTCACTTTTTATAAAAGGATGCCAAAACACAACATAGGAATATGTGTTGTGGGGATAGATAAGATACCTGGACTGCTTAGCAAAAGTCACAGGGCAGCGTTGCTGGAAGAGGCTGAGCATGAGACATGGGACAGGCTAGCCTTTAGTGATGACACGAAGAAGTATGTCATCCTTTCTTAAGGCAATCCAACCGAGTAGGAAAAATTTGACTGTACTGTATATTGTTTATCCTTCCTGAAAGCCAGTTTGGTGTAGTGGTTAAGGCAACAGGCCAGGAACTGGGAGACTGAGAGGTCCAGTCCTGCCTTAGGCACAAAGCCAGCTGGATGACCTTGGGCCGGTCACTCTCTCTCAGTCATAGGAAGAAGGCAAGGGCAAACCACTTCTGAAAGTTTTGCCAAGATAATTGCAGGAACTTGTCCAGGAAGTCACCAGGGGCCAATAATGATTTGAAGGCACCAGAAAATTAAAAAAATAAGAAGTCCTTCGCAGAAGACAGTACATTCCATACCTGGAGAGCTGTGAAGGCTTGTGGTTGCGTTACCAATTTCCATAGTAGATCCACCTTCTGCTGCTGGAATGCCTCCTCATTGTTCACAATATGCACAATACTGCAGCAAACCCCTGGTGCAGCCTCCTGCAGAAGAAGAACAATTCTCAGGAGAGTCAGAGACAGGTAAGACTCCTATTTCAACCCACCATGAGCAAAACCTTTGGCAATCTACTCACTGAGCACTGCTTGGCCACACGCTGGAGCTCAGCCACATGGTGCAATTTCTCTTCTGTTACTGAAACCCAAAAGGAGATTGCTGAAAGGACATTCAGGCTGAGTTCACTATGTACGTTATATGTATCCTGGAGGCCTTACTTCATGGACTTTTTACCCCCAGCCACATGGAGTTGAAATGCTCCGCAACTCCAACTCCAACTCTTTCCCTCATGTAACAGCCACCTGGCCAATAAACAGTAGAGCAGGATTGGGTTTAGCTCACAATAAGGGGGCCAAAAATAAGGCTTTCTCAGTCACCATGTCCCAATTATGGAACAAAAGAGATATAACTTCACAATTTAACATCTTCCCAATCATCCGGCATTTGAAGGATAATAACTACTGCAGGACTAGACTGTCTTTCAGATTGCCAGTTCTCTTTTTTTAAAGAAACATTGCTTTGTTTTATTTATTGTTTCTGAGCATTATTATTTTATTGTCATGGTTTAACACCATATGTACTGTTGCCTAATAAGCTATTCTGGAAGGTTCCTCTGGTTCCAAATCCTGTCAGTTACATCTTGCCACTTGACAAGTCATCATCTCAGCCTGAACTTCCCACCCGTAAAATAAAAATGTTCACAACAAACTACTTTGCAAGATTATTGCATGAAGATGGATATAATAATGCTATTTGTCCATATTTGTCATAGAGAAAATTTATCTATGTGGTTGCTACGAGTCAAAAACAACTTGTTGGCACATAATCAGTAAATCAGTTTGTCCATATACCATCCAAAAGTATATCAACCACTTACCAAGAAAGACATCCAGGTTGGGGTCATAGCCTTCCAGTCCCTCCTGCTGCTCCAGGAACTCTTTCAAGTGTAGTTTACATACAATTTCATCCTGGTCTGCCTGGATAAATGTGGTATATGGACACTGGCAAAGGGCTTCCTTCAAGGCCAGAATGTCCTCAGGAACTCGAGAGGCTTCTGACCCAGAAGGCCAATCAACTTGTACCTGATGGAAGAACTGATGGATTTCCTCATTGACCGAAGCGGGAACCAGCTGCACGTCTATTCTGTTTGTGCAAAGCAAACAAATGAATTCTACAGCAAATAAACTCACATAGCACTATGTTAATGCCACTGCTAAAATAAACTGCAGAAAGTGCTCTGAAAAACAGTGCCAGGGCTGGAATGATAGAGTAATTCAGAAAAAGGCCCATGAACCAGTGGTAGTTTGCGTCCCATAATCTCTTGACAACCCAAAATGAAAGGACTTTAAGGAGTAGGCTTGGTAAAACTGTTCCATGATAACAGCAGCCATGTATCTATTTAAATTCAACTCATATCTATATTACCAAGAAAGTAAATACATGATTTGCATGTGAGCAAGGGAAAAAACTTTCTTTTTTAAAAAACAAGATTTTAACCCTCACAGATGCAATGATAGGTTAAAAGCATAGCGTAATTTCAAGTGAATTTTCAGGAGTTAGGAGCTAGGTCTCTTTTTCTCCTTCCCACAAAGATTTTCACTCTGGCCCTGTATAGTAAGCTGCTGCTAATGACTAGCAGAAGCAAAATATATTGTGCCACATACAAACACACTTCCATAATCTGCAAGGTGCAAAATTCAGGTCTGGGGAAAATTCAGTCCCAGAATCTGAAAGATGGACTGAGAGAGGAAATTTTACTTCCAGTTAGTAGACAACCACTTCAAACCCTATACAATTCAATCTCAAGCTGAATTTCACAAGAACAAGGAACAGATGAACTGAACTCCTTAGCAGAAATTACTTTCTGCATTTTCCAGAAACCCACAGTCACTCTGTGTGATAAAGATCATGTCTACAGCCATACAGACAACCTTCAACTGTAGAGAGGCTAAACGTATACCTATTTAGAAATCAGGTCCCTAGAACACAGTGGAATTTACTCCCAAATATCCATGCAGACAATTGCCTAAAAAGTTACATTACAGGTGAAACTCGAAAAATTAGAATATCGTGCAAATGTTCATTTATGTCAGTAAGG